TAATATATACATATATATATATACTAGAAATAGTTGAAACCCTGTTGGCGAAGGAGTAATGCTTTCAGGCAATGGGTTTGGCCACCACTGTATATGGCAGCGTACATAGTTTAACGCAGCATAGCAAATTACAGTACAACCATACACACTGCTTGCCCCCTAAAACATACAGACTGAAAGGTGTGGGACAGTGAACCAAAGTGTCAGCAATAATGTGTGAAATGATCTCGACCAACATACATACTAGAAAGTGACATCGGCATAAACCCACTTACACGCTGAGGAGAACCAGATGGTACAATGAAACACAAACTAATAATGTATTCTTACACGGAACTGCCCTTAAAAGGCAGCATACTGAAACATACACACTAATGTGTGTGACATGATCTTTACCAGAAGGTGTCATCAGCCTATGTCCACGTACCTTTAAGTGGAGCCAGACGGTGCACTGGACACAAACTCAAGTAATACATTCTTACACGGAATACTCACCACATACGTATACAGAGAAAAGTCATGCAATGCTACCACATTGTGCGAGGTCATGAACCTACCATCGCTGGCGTTATTTCTAGAGACGCTCACGACAATACTTCCTGGTAACACCCGTGGCGTTGCGCACAGCTCACCCTTACCCCTCTTGTCCAACTCCCCGTCCTTGTTGTTCTTATCTCGCACTCGCCTGAAGACGGTGTATATCTGCTGTGCCACAATGTGTATGTCCGGTCGGTCACCCGGATTCTCATGCCAACAATCCTGGATGGACTCGTAGGTTTCCGGCGGCATGCCCGTGGGTTTCTATTGAAGAATATATATGAATATATATACACATATAAACTATTATTAGTACTCAACGCAACCGCTATATTCATGCCCGTACGTATCTTTCGAAGGGTATATATATATATATACATACATAAATATATATATATACATATGCAAACATATGCAAACATATATATATATATATATATATATATATATATATATATATATATATATATATATATTATATACTATA